GCATGAGTTATACCCCGTAGAAAAATAGTCAATTGCTCCTACACTAAAATATTTTTCGTATCATAAAACAGAAAACGACTTTTTAACAACTCTCATAGTTAACAAACCGCATCTGCTAAAATTTTTAAAGTGTTATAGGCACGTAATAGATGCCCAGAAAGCAAATCAATTATATATTGTTCACATGTGCAACCTCTGTTAAACATCAGTCTTGGTATATTCGTCTCGTCGTCTAACGAGCTACTACTACTTAAAAGATTTGGCGTGTAGCTCCTCAAGAAAAACTCCATGCAAAAAATGAGATATTGTGCTACAATTAATAGTTTGTTCAGTTCAGTAAACGATTAATCAAGTAGAAATAAATCTCAACCTAAAAATCAAGCAGTAACATTTCTCCAGTAAATTTTATCAACTACATTCTCAAGAAAATGAATTCGAGCAAAGTAAATGACTACATGCTACATCATAAAAAAATTAATGATTCAAGCTAATTAACAGACACATGAATGCTAAAATAAAAAATAAGCATCTTGAACTGATACCTTATGACACGTTAATTTGACAATCAAGCTAAGCATTCAAAAAGTTTAGGTGGCAATGAAGAATATATTCAATCCACCCACGCAATAGTGATCCATCCTAAGTCATAATGGTGATCTTGTGGTCGTTACAATCTATCAATGTTTCATTAACAACTAACTTTCATCAAAATATTCTCTATGCTACAAGTTTTGTAAGGCATTCTATTGTTGTGTATGGGCAAATTTTTTCAATATTCTCAATTATCTTATCCGTTTTACCACCATACTAGTCTAATATGCTGTCTAGCATTTCTTTCTCAGTTCTTCTCTTAGGGTGCCTACTTTTGCGAACATCATCGTCACTTGAACGCTTGCTACAACTCATCGGAATATATAAGAGTTCTTATGTGTTTTCTCCCTCGGGAACTTGCATGGTTTGTAAATCAGTTTGTATGAAATTGATTCTGTTACAGAACAAGAACACATCCCCCTCTACATCTCCTGTTACCCCATCTTATATTATATTATTACTTTTTCATGATAATCTTGCTAATGTTCCCATAATAATATTATCACAATAAATTTTCTCAAAAATATCGTACTGATGGAATGGATTGTGACGAAACTTCACTATCTTTGGGTTATCCTAGTCAAAAAATTTAAAAAAATAAATAAAAACGACATGTATTTGATGTTTATAAATTAATCATTAAATTTAATTGAACAATATATACCTGGATTATCTCATCTCATATTTCATCAGTGGCCACAGGCAAATGAAGAATTTCATCTAACATCATCCACTTCAATGAGATAATTGAAAAATAATATGAAAATCGGCTTTCATATTTTTTAACCTAGTTTGTACACTGCTTTCAGTGTAGTTTCTATCAACTCGATGATTTAGTGTACAAATCAAATTGTTTCACATGTCTCTCCTCAATATGTCATCATTAATATTACCACACAAATATTTCTCCAACAATAACTCTCTAAAGACTTCATCATACTGATCTAGTCAGCTAAGTGTCATCAAAACACTTTATTAGTATTCCTCAACTTCACATCTAAATCATCCATAATGTTTGCTTAAATATTGGCTGATAATTTAGAAAGTCAAAGCGGTGCAACGGTCATCAGTCAGTATTCAAGTGGACATTATTGATGATTTAGATATAAAGTTAGGGAATAATAATAAAGTATTTTAAGGACACCTAGGTGGCCAGATCAATATAATGAAGTCTTCAGAGAGTTATTATTAAAACATATTTGTGTGATAATATTAATGATGACATATTGGAGACAAACATGTGATAGGATTTGGTTTGTATACTAAGTCGCCGAATTGATGAAAACTACACCGAAAGCAATGCACAAACTAGGATACAAAATATAAAAGCTAATTTTCGTGTAGTTTTTCAACTATCTCATGGAAGTGGATAGGGTTGGGATGAAACTCTTCATTTGCCCATAGCCCACTGATAAAATATAGGATGAGATAATTAAGGTATATATTACTCAATAAAATTTGTTATTCCATTTAAAAGCTCCAAATATATATCTTTTTTATTTTTTTTATTTTTTTACTAGGACAACCCAAAACTAGCGAAATTTCGTCATAATTCATTCTATCGCTATAATTTTTTTGAGAACATTTGTGATGACAATATTGTTGTGGGAACATTAGCAAGGTCATCACAAAAAATAAATAAGCAAGGTCATCACAAAAAATAAATAAGCAAGGTCATCACAAAAAATAAATAATATAATACAAGATATGGTAATATGAGATGATGTAGTGGAAGATGTGTTCTTGTCTGATAACGGAATCAGTTTCATACAGACTGATTTATAAACCAAGCAAGTTCTTGAGGGAGAAAACACAGAAGAACCCCCATTTATTCTGATGAGTTATAGCAAGCATTTAAGTGACGATAACGTTCACAAAAATAGGCGCCCTAAAAGAAGAGTTGAGAAAGAAAAATTAAGCAGCATACTAGATAAGCATTATGGTAAAATTAATAAGATAATTGAGAAGATTGATAAAATTTGTCCATACACAACAACAGAATGTTTTGCAAAACTTGATAGCATCGAGAACATTTCGATGGAAGCTATAATAGATGTTCATGAAGCATTGATAGACTGTAACGACCAAAAAATCACTCTTATGACTTGGGATGGATCACTACTATGTGGGTGGATTGAATATATTCTTCATTATCACCCAAATATTTTTGAATACTTAGCTTAGTTGTCAAATTGACGTATCATAAGGTATCAGTTTAAGATATTTTTCTGTTTTAGTATTCATGTGTATGTTACTTAGCTTGAGTCATTAATTTATTTATGATGTATTTCTCATTAATTTAGCATATAACCATTTACTTTGCTTGAATTTATTTTCTTGAAAATGTGGTTAATAAAATTACTAAAGAAATGTTACTGTTTGAGTTTTAAGTTGAGATTCATTTCTGCTTGATTAGTAAGTTCTAGTTTATTGAACTTAATAAACTATTAATTGTAACACAATGTCTCATTTCTTGTATGAAATTTTTTCTGAGTTATACGAGCTTATAGATAAGCATATGTGATGCGGAGCATCTTTAGTCGGTGCACCGGAGGAACATCTTATCTAGCACTTCTAGTTAGTTAGAATATTCCCTGCTCTTTTACTGTTTTAGACCGTTTGTGCTCAGGGGCACTTTTATCTCCAGGTGTTATTTTTGTTTCTAGAATGATTAGCCGAAGGTAGTATTTGTAGGAAGAAGCTGTAGGAGGTACTCAGTTTTTTGAAGTTACAATCTCTATAGAGTTTACTATCATCTTCTTCTTCTTCTTGTTAAGTCTTTAGTGCAGGTACTACATCATCTTCTGGTATCAGAGCTAAATGGCGGAAGGTAGCAAGCGGGTGGCTCCCGTGGAGGAAAAAAGCTTGGAGGTCCTGTGGGCCGAACACTCTGGGTTGGCCAAGAACACGGAGGAATTGACGGCTGACTTCCGTCGATTCTCCGATGAGGTGCGGCGAGACTTGAGAGATATCCGCGCTCTGTTAGAGCGCAATGCCGAACCAAGAGGGGGTTTGCCGGCAACCATACCAGCAACTCACAGACGGGGCGGGACAAGAAGAATGCCAAGGCATCACGCACCGGAGGCGTTTGCTTCCGATTCGGACGAAGGTATGGAACAATTTGCGAATCTGGAGTTATCGGAGTCAGAGGAAGAATTGACGGGTCCTCGCCGGAGGAGAGTCCGAGAACAGGACCGTTCAAATGGAGAGTTCAGGGTCAAATTGGACATTCCGTTTTTTGACGGAAAACTGCACATCGAAGACTACCTAGATTGGGAACGATCGGTGGAAACCTTCTTTGAGTATATGGAGATTGAACCTGAAAAGCAGGTTAAATACATAGCGTGCCGATTAAAGGGCGGGGCTAGCGCCTGGTGGCTGCAGATGATCCAGTCGCGGCGACGTGAAGGTAAAGGTCCAGTGCGCAGTTGGTTCCGGATGAAGCAGCTGCTTCGGGGACACTTCCTTCCTACAGACTATGAACAAATGCTCTATATGCAATACCAGCATAGTATACAAGGAAATCGGTCCGTCAATGACTATACCGAAGAATTTTATAGATTGAGCGCCCGAAATAATCTGAATGAGTCGGAAAACCAATTGGTAGCTCGATATGTGGGGGGTCTCAAGGATTCAATTCATGACAAGCTCGAATTGAATACGGTATGGTCACTTTCACAAGCAGTAAATTATGCAATGAAAATTGAAATGCAATCCACTTGGCAAAGCAGGAGCAGTTACGGCAGGAAGGCTGTGGAGTCCGCAGCCGACTCTAATCGGATGGGCATTATGAAATCAGCCACCTTCAATAGACAACCCGTTACTCTTCAGACAAACCCTTCACCACCGTTGGCAAACAACAAACCTGAGGAGGTCAGAGGAATTCAGAAGTTCAAAGGACCAGCCAAAGATAATCCGTATGTGAAGCCGTCCACCATCAAGTGTTTTCGGTGCTTCCAACAAGGACATAAGTCCAACGAATGTCCCTCTCGAGGACAATTGCAAATGTTAGAAGGGGAGTTTGAAGAGGACGAAGATGATTCCGAGGATAGACAGGCCAATCTGGTCGAAGAAGTGGCCGGTGATGAAGGGGAACCACTGGTGTTTGTGCTGCAACGTCTGCTACTTGCTCCTAGGAAGCCAAGTAATTCTCAGAGGAATGCCCTCTTTAAAACGAAATGCACCATTGGCGGGAAAGTTGCAGCCTGTTGATTGATAGTGGGTATACTGAAAACGTGATATCCAGGTCCGTGGTGCAAGCACTCCAGCTCAAAATAACTAAAAGCTCCAATCCATACAAAATCAGCTGGGTGAAGAACGGGGTGGAATTGACAGTTTCAGACCTGTGTAGAGTGCCGTTTTCTATTGGAAAATATTACGCAAGCGAGGTCCTTTGTGATGTCATAGATATGGATGTTTGCCATATCATATTGGGTCGCCCATGGCAATTTGACGTGGGGGAAATTTTCGATGGCAGAGCAAACACCTACACCTTCGACTGGAAGGGGAAGAAGTTACGGTTATTACCGGATCCCGCAGTCAAAGAAGCTACTCCTCCCGCAGACAAAGCTGCTCTGTTCGTGGTTCCAGGCAATGCATTGCTTAATGCATGGAAGGAGTCGTCTGACATTGTGGCCCTTGTTGTCAAAGAACAGACCGCGACCGTGAACAGGACTGGGCTACCACCGGCAGTGAGTCAGCTATTGCAGCAATATTCAGACGTCTGCCCTCAGGAGCTCCCAGCAGAACTTCCACCACTAAGATCCATAAATCACCAAGTTGATTTGCATCCCGGGGCCACTCTACCCAACATCCCACATTACAAAATGAGTCCCACTGAACACCGAGTATTGCAGCAAATTGTGGATGACTTGCTTCAAAAACAACTTATACAGCACAGTTTAAGTCCTTGTGCAGTCCCCGCTCTTCTTGTGCCAAAGAAAGATGGAAGCTGACGAATGTGCATTGATAGTCGGGCAATCAATAAGATCACCGTCAAGTTCAGATTTCCAATGCCAAGATTGGATGAGATGATGGAGAGATTGGTCGGCTCTCAGGTATTTTCCAAATTAGATCTTCGCAGCGGGTATCACCAGATACATATTCGTCCTGGGGACGAATGGAAGACAGCTTTTAGGACCCGGGAAGGATTGTATGAATGGCGAGTCATGCCGTTTGGGTTATGTAATGCCCCCTCAACTTTCATGAGATTAATGAATGAGGTTTTGAAACCGTATTTGAACAAATTTTGTGTAGCCTATTTCGTTGACATCCTAATTTTCAGCAAGAACGGGGAAGAGCATGTGGAACATCTGAAAAGTATACTAGAGACGATGAGGCAGAACAAGCTCTATTTAAATCTTGCAAAATGTGATTTTGACAGTAAAATGGTGGCATTCCTCGGATTCAAAATTTCGGCGGACGGAATTAGCGCCGATCCACGGAAGGTAGCTGCAATTGTGGACTGGCCGAATCCACGATCCTTCACAGATATACGGAGCTTTCACGGACTCGCAAATTTTTACCAAAGGTTCATTAAAGATTTCAGCGTTATCTTGTCTCCAATAACAGATGTTCTGAAATAGAAAAATTTCGTGTGGGGAGAAGAACAGCAGCGAAGTTTTGCCTTGATCAAGGAAGCTCTGTCGACCGCACCCGTGCTGGCGTTACCAGACTTTGATAAGCCTTTTTCGGTGGAGACTGATGCGTCAACTACCGGAATTGGCGCGGTGCTGACCCAAGATAACAGACCTGTTGAATTCTTCAGCGAGAAGCTTTGCTCATCCCGACAGCGTTGGTCTGTGTACGAGCAGGAGCTATATGCCGTAATTCGAGCTCTTAAACAATGGGAGCACTATTTGCTACACCAAGATTTTGTTCTGTGCTGTGACCACAAGGCCTTGCAATACATCAATACGCAAAAAAGCATCAATCGAATGCACGCTAGGTGGATCTTATTCCTACAAAAGTTCTCTTTTGTGTTGAAACACAAGAGTGGCGCACAGAACCGGGTTGCTGACGCCTTGAGCCGTCGGTCTATGCTGATAACCCAGCTAAAGGCTGAATTTGTGGGATTAGAATGCTTGCAAGAACTGTATGCCGAAGACGATGACTTTGCCAGGAGCTGGTTGAAGTGTACAAACAAAGAACCGGATGAAGACTATTCGATTCGTCACGGATTCCTTTTTAAAGGGAATTTGCTATGCATACCAAAATCATCTTGGAGGCAGCATCTCATCCAAGAGATTCACGGTGGTGGATTATTTGCCCACGCAGGCCGGGATAAGACTATTTTTCAAATGACGAGCAAATTCTTTTGGCCTCATTTGAGGAAGGATGCTACCAAATTTGTGGAAAGATGCTCAGTGTGCCAAAACTACAAAGGAGGCGGACAGAACACGGGGTTGTATTTGCCGTTGCCGGTGCCGGAGTCCATTTGGGAGGACTTAAGTCTAGATTTTGTGCTCGGCCTACCCCGCACTAAGAAGGGCAATGACTCCATTATGGTGGTGGTGGACAAATTTTCCAAAATGGCACATTTCATAGCTTGCAAGAAGACCTTCGACGCGTTAAATGTGGCCAAGTTGTTCTTCCGGGAAATCATGAGGCTTCATGGCGTGCCGCGCAGCTTAACATCTGACCGAGACGTGAAGTTCATCAGCCACTTTTGGCGGGAGTTATGGAAACGATTGAACACCAAACTCCAACTCAGTTCACCATATCATCCTCAAACCGACGGCCAGACGGAAGTGGTGAATCGCACATTGGGAAATTTGCTGAGATGTATTGTACAAGACAACACGAAGTTGTGGGACGAGGTTCTCGGACAAGCGGAATTCGCATTCAACTCCATGCCTAACCGCTCTACCGGTATGTGTTCATTTAGTATTGTGTATACTAAGATGCCAAATTCTACTGTTGATGTCACAGTATTACCCAAGTGCAAAAGTCAAGCGGCTGCAACGTGGATTGATCAATTCTCGGAATTGATCGCCTCTGTCAGACAAAAACTGCTGGAGTCGAATGCCAAATACAAGGAGGATGCAGATGCACATAGAAGGAAGAAGACATTCCAACCGGGTGAACTAGTGATGGTCAGGTTGAAGAAGGAACGAATGCCAGCCGGGACGTACTCTAAATTGGGCAAACGCAAGTTCGGACCCTTTCCGGTTCTCAAATGTATCAACGAAAATGCTTACATGGTGGAGTTGCCAGCCGAGTTCAATACGCCAATCACATTCAATGTGGCAGATCTCTACCCGTTCTTTCCACCAGATGACGGCCACAGTACTCTGGAAGACCAGCCCTCTGTTCCTCCCGTTGGAGAAGGGGCGAATGATGCGGAGCATCTTTAGTCAGTGCACCGGAAGAACATCTTATCTAGCACTTCTAGTTAGTTAGAATATTCCCTGCTCTTTTACTGTTTTAGACCATTTGTGCTCAGGGGCACTTTTATCTCCAGGTGTTATTTTTGTTTCTAGAATGATTAGCCGAAGGTAGTATTTGTAGGAAGAAGCTGTAGGAGGTACTCAGTTTTTTGAAGTTACAATCTCTATAAAGTTTACTATCATCTTCTTCTTGTTGTTGTTAAGTCTTTAGTGCAGGTACTACATCAATATGCAGTTGATAAATGCTATTACAAATATTATGCCAAATATTTTAAGTAGCAATAGCTCATCAGATGACAAGATGAACATACCAAGACCGATGTTCAACAGAGATTATACCAGTGAATAATATGTAATTGATTTGCTTTATGGGCATCCATTATATGCCTACAACACTTTCAAAATTTTAGCATATGCAGTTTGTTAAGTAAAGGAATTGTTAAAAAGATGTTCTCTGTTTTATGAAAAGAAAAATATTTGTGTTAGAGCATTTGATTATTTTTCTGCAGAGTATAGCTCATGTACACAAGTACAGACAGTTGTGCAAGTTCTTTCAACATTCTCTTGAAACTGTTAATCAATATTTTAATATAGTCTTACGTGACATAGTATTATTAGTTAATAAATTTATTATAATGTCAAGTGCGAAGGCAGAATGCCTCCCTTTTGTAAGTTCAAACCTTCTTTTTTATCCATTCTACGAGTATACAGCAGGAGCTATAGATGGGACCCACTGACGCCGGCTGAGTGAACGGATGAGAATGAGGAAACAGAGTAATCGGCAACTCCGCTTCAGCTCGCTTCTACGATCGTCGTCGTCTCACCGGAGTTGGATCACCACCTGCAAAACACACAGGATACAGAAAGAAAACTCTAGAAATGAGTTTCAAGATTTCATTCAATTCGAAAAATTCCCCCTCCCGCGTAGACAGCTACAGTTTTTATAGTTGCATTTAAGCTACAGGAAATGGAATTAGTAAGCGATAGCCTATAGCGGGAATACAGGCTTATTAAAAGAACTCAGTTACAAAAACAGAGGATGAAGTAGTAGTAACACTCCGGTGTTATTCTCCTGGGGCGAGAGGTTCGTCGACATCATAGTGAGGTGTCAGGTCAGCAACATTGAAGGTCACCGATATGTTGTAGTCTCCGGGAAGATCAATCTGGTAGGCGTTGTCGTTAAACTTTTTGATAATACGGAATGGCCCATCAGCCTTTGGCTTCAACTTAGCAAAAGCTCCACGAGGGAAACGATCCTTGCATAAATGAATCCAAACGAGATCTCCCTCCTTGAATTCAACCTTCCGTTTCGATTTATTAGCTTGTTTCTGACATTTAGAATTATGCTTCACAATAGCATCTTGAACTTGTCTGTGTATCTGTTGTATCTCCTTACTTCGTTGTTCGCCATCAATGCTCATCACAGTGGGTGGTATAATTGGAATGAGATCAAGAGGAGTGATCGGATTGTATCCATAAGCTACTTCAAAAGGGCTTCGCTTCGTTGCTTGATTAACAGATCGGTTGAAAGCAAATTCAACCTGAGCCAATATAAGATCCCACTGTCTTAAGTTTTTGCCTACAAAACAACGTAACAGGTTACCCAAACTGCGATTGACTGTTTCAGTTTGTCCGTCTGTTTGAGGATGGGCAGCTGAACTGAACTGAAGACGGGTACCGAATTTTCCCCACAACGTTCTCCAAAAGTGGCTTAAGAACTTCACATCTCGGTCTGAGGTAATCGTCTTTGGAATTCCATGGAGACGGACAATCTCACGGAAGAATAGATCAGCGGTATGCGTAGTATCCAACGTCTTTGTACATGGCACAAAATGAGCCATTTTTGAGAAGCGATCAACCACTACCATGACCGAATCTTTATTCCTCTGAGTACGAGGTAATCCCACAACAAAATCTAGACTAATATCAGTCCAGGGAGAGCTAGGTACCGGCAGCGGTGTGTACAATCCAGCATTGGAATTAACGGTCTTGGCTCGTTTACAGACAGAACAACTCTGTACATACCTCCCAACATGCTTTTTAAGAGACGGCCAAAAGAAATTTTCAGATAGGAGCTGGAGTGTTTTATCTCTCCCAAAGTGCCCAGACAAGCCTCCATCATGGCTTTCGGCTATGAGAGTTAATCTCAGTGAGCATTCAGGTATACAAATGCGATGTTTATAGAAGAGATACCCATCTTTCAGGTGATAAAGTCTGAAGGGCATGGTCTGACATTGTTGCCAAATATCTTTAAACTCTGCATCTTCAGGGTATAAATCTTTAATGCATTCAAATCCTATAACCTGAGTTTGCAACGTCTGTAACAACAAGTGGCGTCGACTGAGGGCATCAGCCACTTGGTTATTGTGTCCAGCCTTATGTTTGAGAACATAGTGAAAGGCAGATAAAAATTCGGACCATTGAGCATGTCGGGCTTTCAATTTCTTTTGGTGATTTAAAATGGGAGAGCTTCATGATCTGAATATAAGACGAATTCATTGGCAAGCAAATAATGATTCCAATGTTGTAGAGCCCGGACTATAGCATAAAATTCTTTGTCATATGTA